CTTCTTCTAAGCAAATATTAGTCTACTACTAAAAAACAATCCAAAATTTTAGAGAATATCCAGGCACCTTTATGGAAGTTGTGAAGTCATTTATCTTAAAGCACACTCCTATTTGCACTTCTGTATCCTACTGTTTAAGTAAGGAAATGTAACATATCAAGAACCTGTTTTTACTTGTGGTTTTTTTTAAAGAGAATCTCTGTTTAAAAATGGAATTTTTTATGCTAAAATAAATGCAGTTCTTTTTGTCAGTCTGAACCCTCCCTACTTACTTTGTCTCCATACCATGAAAGAAAAGTTTTGTTTTAAAGTTTGTTACTTGGTAAGTAACCCAGGACAAATTTTATACATTGTTGAATTGTTGCAATCCCAAGGTATTTGCACTGTGGGTGTTAAAGACTGGGTTCATTAGTAGTGCTGCCTGCATATGCAGTGGATTCCTCTCAAGTAGAAGTTTCCCTAGCACTGCTTAGACCCAGGGATGCTCCAGTCATGGAGCTGTCATCTGGCCCATGGGTTCCCCACAGGTCTGCTCCCCTGCTGCTGAATTTCCAGACCCATGGGGGGCCCATGAGCTGAATAGTGTGGCCCTGCATGCTAAATCAGATGTGCAGGGCAGCTCAGGGCCCACTACTGGAGTGCCAGGGCCTGATTCTGGCACATAGAGCCACACAAGGCCTGATCCTGGAGCACTGGGCCTGAGCCAGTCCATAGACCAGCCCCGCAGCACACATTTGGTCAGTGGGGCCAAAAGGTTGAGCTCTACTAGCTTAGACACAATTTTCATTTTGAGCAATCAGATTTCAAAAATAAATTAGCTTGGTTCTTTCTTACAGGCCTATGAGAACAGAGGGATTCCTGTACTGGATCAGATCATGAGGTCCCATCTAATTGGTATCCTGTCTGATTTTGGCCAGTAGTACCTGCTTCAGAACAATGTCCAAAAACCTCATGCACAGCAAACAGGGATGGTACCCTCTACTCATGTGATTTTTTTTCCTAATCCGTAATAGTTAGGGATTGTTCTACATTCTGAAGATGAAAGAGGTGGGGGTGAGTTGTTTTTTCAAAACTTTGGGTGGTACTGAACCTAGTCCCTGATAGCCTGACCAGGTTCTTGGCCTAGTGGCAATCTTCAGCTGTTTGACTGGAAAAGCACTTCCATTTATCAATTCTGCATTGCTCTTTCATAACTAATATGTGACCTGAAGTAGAATGTCTTTTATTTGAAAGCTTGTCTAATTTTATTCCAGCTATGCAGTTGGTCCAATAAAAGGTATCACCCTAAGAAATCCTTGCCTCTCACATAATTCTTGGATCATCACAATTACAACATCACTCTAATTCTACTTTATCTTTCCTATTCACTTGATTGCCTCTCAGTCTTCTCTGTTTAGACTAAGCACAATGCTATCTGTTATTTTTACTATCTAACTGCTCACTGCTCCCTTCTAGATAATCAACAAATGTAGTAAACACAAGATCTACTGAAAAAATCAGTCTTACCTACTTCCCACATTTTAGCTTTTCATTTCAGGACCATTTTGTTTTCTTAACATTCTCTTATGGAAGACCTAGCCCAAAGCTTTCTTTTAAAGCATAAAGTGTCAACTAGGTCTTATTCATTGCCAACATTATCAACACATACACTAGTCTACTAGAGTTCTTTGGGACACTACTTTTTGTAAATACTATGCTGGCTTAGACCAGCTCTTTCATTAATTTATTAACTACAGATAGAACCAGTTTGCTAGGTATTTAAGTTTTAAGGGAACAAAAAGCCAATAAGCCTTTTTAAAATGAAGACAACACTTAGTACCATCCAGCTATCTTGTCAGTAGTTGTTATACGTGACCGCTTATTTTTGTAGGTCATCACTTCCAAAGTTCTGGAGTATGTCTGCTTTTTACTTCATCTGTGGCTGCATGTTACAAGAATTTGCTCATCCTAATACTCAGGAAAAGCTTCCAGACAAAGTGCAGTCCATTGAAAAAATGTTCATTTGTTCATGGAGATGATTGATACTGCTTCATCTTTCTTACTTCATGTGCTACTAAAAGAATAAAACAGTCTGGTTTTGTATTTCAGATGTAAAATATGCTTATTTTGTTTGCTTCCCTGTTCCCGTGTATATCTCAACCTGACGAGGCATTCCTTACAGCTAAACTTTCAAAAATAATTGGATAAACAACCAAATACTGTGTCTGCAGAGCTGTTAACTCATTATTAGAGATCAAAGGCTCAATCTCACCCTGTGCAGAGGGCATAGAAAGAGAAAAAGAAATCTGTAAAACTGAGTGAGTGACTACTAGGTGTGGCTAGACTTTTGCCTCACTTCCTGTAATAAAACTTACTGCCTAAAGTCAATTGCTATCTGCTAGATCTAGAAAGTGAGTAGATATATGCATTATGTGCAGAATGCTTGTTAATATTATTGAGATAAAAGCTGAATCAGTTCAAATTATCAAATGCACTAGATAAGATTACTGACTTCTATTTCTGCTATAATGATTAATACTAGGAAATCCTGTTTCTGCCAAAAGAGTTAAGCTGAATATGATTACATCTGTGGGTGGTAAATGTCTAACACCATTGTTAATGAACAGATGAGCAAGATGATCCTCAAAATGTACAGAAATCAATATTAAGTTCCTATTACTGTACAAAGCATGAGTTACTAACAAAACTCTAAATCAATTCCATTACAGCTTCCTGGAGGATAATAGATTAAAGAATGAAACCTAAAAATAAGTACCTGAATGTACTATGAACATAAAAACCACACATACCATACCAGTATGGGTATAATATGCCAGAGCTACTCCAGAATAATAGATCAAACAAGCTTAGGTAAGGTCAATCTAATTAGATGGCAGAAATGGGGAGATGATAGAATTCTAAGTAACTACCAACTATTTTTTAAGCATCAATTTGTACTCAAATGAGATATATAATCTTGGTAGAATATTTATGCACCAATCTGATGGTACCATGTTAACAATATAATTCCAAAGAATATGTATAAGCATTCTGTTATAGAAAAACAGGAGGGTATTCTTCTGTATTTAGTCAAGTCCAGGAAAGCAAAAGTTTTCCAAGACAGCCCTCCAACCTCAAACGGCATCTTTCAAGCAAAAGGGTACTTGACTCCCAGACTGAGACACCAACTGTACCCTCTCATCAACCACATAATTGCTGGATAAAATAACATGGATTACAGCATCTGAAATTCATTCACCTGCAACTCTACCAGCATCAGGCACATCATCACCTGCTTACAGTGCCCCTCTGCAGTCTACATTGGACAGATGGGCTGACCCCTATGGCTAGGGACAGACATTACACATAAATGGTTTAAGTGATCGGAAACTGGCTTAAACCTGTAACAGAACAGATGTTCAGTGCATATAAACCAGTTTAAAAATGGCTGAAACCGGTTTGAGATACTACATTCAACTAGTTTTATCAGACTTAACTGATTTGGGTCAAACCATTTTATGCAATATCTGTCCCAGACCCCTTGATGGTTTAAGATAAACCAGGCACCCCCAGCATCCTGGCATGCTCTCTGGGTTGGGTAGGGCTCTGTGCTCCACAGCAGGGAAGACCCACCAGGGTCTGCCTGGCTTCCCCCTGCCCTGCCCTCCACCCCTCACTGCTCAAGCAGGAATCCCCTCTCTCCCACAGTACAGACCCCAGCCCAATGGACCCTAGGCACATGGTATGGAAGTTAATGCTGAGAGGTATGTGTGTGTGTGTTGCCAGTTTCACTGAGACAGGTAGACCGAACAATGACCACTTAGGGCTAGTTAGAGCTAATCAACAGGTCAACCAGTAAGCTGTTTAAGAAGAGTTTGAAGTAATAGAGAGAGCCTGTTTTGCTGATGAGGTGATAATCAGTGTTACTAGTCCCCTGCTGGCTTGCTTGCCTGCCAGTTTGCTGCAGACAGCATAAAGAAGTAGGGAGAAGGAGACTGAAAAGCTCTGTATCATCAACAGATGCATGTGCTGCACACCCCCACTTGCCTCAGAGTGCTAGCAGAGGGCAACACTCTTAACCTTTGATCAGCCAGTGGGGAAAAGCCTGAGACCATGCAGGCAGAACTCCCTAATCATAGGTCCTATGGGGACCTGGCCACGCCCTCCTCCCCCCCCTCAGCTCAGTACTGTAGAAGGGGAGGGAGGGCTACTCTAGCACCCTCTCCAGCTTCTAGCCTGAGCCACCGCAGACATGTACCTGAATTTCCTCAGTCCAGAGAGAATGTCAGTCGAGTTACAAACCGGTTCAGCCTAGCCAGGTTAGACAAATCTGCAAAGATTCAATCAGTTAAGGCTGAGCCTTTTTGAAAGTCTGTCCCTTGCCTTGATGTAAGAATGAATGAACACTGATCTGACATCAGTTCCAGAAAGAAACACGGGCCTGTGGAAAAACACTTTACCATCACTGACCTCAGGGTAGCTGTTCTTAGACAACTGGAACAGGGAAATTGCAGAACAAGAAATCATCTATAAACTGGAGCGTGTTAATTATACTCTAAACAGGGACCACCGATTCTCATCCCATTATCTGGATTAGTGTTTGTAACCCCTTTTCCCTCGATGGATTTATTGCCTTTTTGCCTGGCCCCCTTTACCTCTCTACCTTCTCTCCCTCCCTCCCTTCCCTGTCTTCTGTATTCAAATCTCTTATTTTATATGCTGCTGTATGCATGTCCATTTACAGCAACTGATGAAGCTGGACTCATGAAAGTTCATGCAAAACATCTCTAATGTAGTTAACCTATAAAGTGCAAATCTACCCTGCTTTCTGCCTGACTTCTTCCTGCAAATCTACCCTGCTTAGTTAACGTGCCTAACTACCTTTCTTTTAAAACAGTAATTGACATCTCCACATTAGTATCTCTTCTAGGCCAGACCATTTCAAATGACTGACTATCTCAAAGTGAAGGCAGTGTGATTGCATATCCCAAATCTTGTGATAAAG